TTTGGAGTTGTTTATGCCGCTAAGAAATCTAAGGCGCTGTCCCACAAAAACTAATGAGGCCTCCCAAGTCACCACTAAATATGAAAGCCAAGCAATAAATTTGCCTAGACGCACCTCTAAACAAAATGACCTATTTAGCTAGCACGAATAAGTGACCGACGTGGATCGACTGATACGAATGCTTCATCAACCTTGGATCTCTCAGACATAGAAACTCACCTCGATGCAAACGATATGTATGATGAGGAGCGATCGGATACGTTGAATATATCTGGTAAGCATAATCTAATGAGTTCATGGTTCTTAGCTGTTCAGGAAATCTGGATTGACGACTATTCATACACTAAACATTCTTTTTCTTCTAGATGTGGAGGAGTGGAAGCTATACAAGTACAGGCCGCTTTTGCGGTTCTTCAACTTCTTACTTTTTCGTGAATACACGAAGAAACTTCAGCGCTTGCGCAAAGCTGACCGTCTTCTAGAAGTTGAAGCAGAAATCCGTGAAAAGGAGAATCTGAGACAACAGAATCTTAGAGAGGTTGAAATATCCTTATTAGATGACATAAAATGACCGACATTAAACGCTCATTAGCTTGAACTGAGGATGAACGCCATGCTGGGAAGGCCGGGTTCTTCTCCTTTTAACAACAATCCCAAAGAGAAGATTGGCTTGAACGCTAGGCTTGATCTCTGTGAGTCGAAAATGAAGGAAATGCAGCTTACGCTTGAGAAAATCCACATACTTGTGCGTGAAGTTGCAGCGACAATGGGGTAAATCTTGGAAATGTTTTATTCACCTCATATCAAGACCTGTTGCCTAATTTAGTGGAAATGTAACGCAAGAAACACTGCCGCCAACACCTCCAGGACGAAAATCGTCATTCTCATCGAATTATCGTCGTCATCACTTTCTGCGTAATCAACATGTGAGCGAAGAAAGCGATGTAGATGAATGACATATTCTGAATAAACCGTAACTGAAAGATTCTTCACCTTTATTTCAAAGAAGTAAGAAGTAGTGCCGATTAAAAATAAACTGACGAGGTGTTCCAGCCTTCGGAACAGTGGTATTTGAGTTCTTGTGTGTAAGCAAGAACAATGATTCAGTTTGCTTTATAGTCACTATGGTGCAAGTATAGCTGCAGTTTTATTACTGCGTTAAAGCAAGCATTTGCTGTAAGAATCTGTTTCTTGCGAACTAGAGCTAGCTGAAAGCTTTTTT